AATACAGCTATAAATGTTTTCTTCTTGATTTAAAAGCATATCTATAATTTGTTTAATAATTGTATTTTCATCCTTTATTAATGATCAGTTTATCATTTCTAAATAAAGAATTGCATTTTTTATTAACCAGTTATTTAAGAGTTTTCAGTGGTTCATACGATTACTTAGAGCGAGTAAGTAAATGATTAATAAACTATTTAAATGTACATTCATACATCTTATTATTCAGACATATAGTGATGGTAACTTAATGTGTTAATAAATGCTTTATTAACATGTATTAATGCTGTAATTAAGGGTTAATTTGGGTAGTTATAAAGCATTTAGTAGTGGTCAGTTAACTATGTTCGTGAGGTCATCTAAAGTGAGGACTAGTCATGCCTTGTAAAACATTTTTAAAGGCTGTTAAATATTTCTATGTTCTGTATCACTGCGTTGTGTTTGTTACATTTTACTGTTTAGAAGATTGACGAGTCTTTAAATCACCTTTATAAATGCTTTACAAAGCATGAATAGTCCTCACTTTAGATTAGCTCCCAAAAATAGTTAACTGACCACTACTAAATGCTTTATAACTACCTGTATTTACTACATTTACTTACACTTTCTAAGTGATCTTATGAATGACTGACAACTCTTAAACAACTGGTTTGTAAATAATGCTATACTTCATTTAGAAATTATTAATTGATCATTAACAAAGTATGAAAATACAATCATTAAATGCATTATAGATATGCTTATAAATCAAGAAAAAAGCATGTATAGCTGTATTTATAAACTGCATATTAATGTCTATTAATGTTTTATAAATGATGAATTAACTGTTTACTCATGCTTAACTAATGATTAATAGTGTGCAGTTATTATAAAGTGTTACCCAACTTTTGAAAATGGCGAAACGCAAGAGAGACGATGGTGCTAACGTTAAAACTAAAAGTAAAAATAAGAAAACAATATTTTACCTCAAGTTCTCTTTGGAGGATGGACAGCCCATACTGTCCTCTTCAAGCAGGGTTCTCAACTCTCACGCAATGACCGTGAGACACACGCAATTCAACCAGTTCACACGCTCACACGCCACACCATGTAACGTTATTTCTCACGCTGAAAAGGCAATGCCGAGCAATCCAGGAACGTGTCCATTGTCAGGTTTTCTTTCTTTTTTTACTTTTTTTCTGAACGCAGGACAGCCAATACAACACTCACCGCTTCATCCATTCTTTGTTCACATTCGTTTCCGGAAGTCACTCGCTACTAGTTTCGCCTTCTCGATGACATCACGCGTGCTGTTAAAGACAGCATGCGATGACTGGTCAGGAAGCAATGTGCAGTCTGACATGTCTTGTCCACGACACAACAAGATTTTAGGAGTCAAAATCGCGTTATCTGACACAGTGACTATCGTAACAGACAAAAAAAAAGTGTAATCTGAACCAGGCATTACATTTTCAACTGCATCAAGCCATGAAACCATATTCATACCACATTTTAAAAACTTATAACATTGCTAGTTAAGTTTTTCTGGGACGCATCTTTATTTTTTCAAATCCAATTTCAGCTTGTTTCATAAACATTCTTTTGCTGATTAAAAACACCCCATTTGCATATAAAATGGCCCTCTTTAGTAACAGTACTTTTTCTGTATTACATCGTGACAGATGAAAAAAAAAACAATCACAATCAAAGATGTAGTGAACTGTGCTGAACAGACTTTTCAGGGAATGATGATCAGGAATGTTGTTAAAATAAACTTTTGTCTTTGGTTTCTAATATTCTACGATTTTCCAGGCTATGCAGAGTGGCAATTTTCACAATTTGACCATGACTGGACCGGTGAAGCCTCATTACCGCTCAAATAGTAGTCTAATGCCCTTATTAGCAGCATAAAGGGAGGATTTCAAATGGCTGTTCTGCAGTCGCTGCTGGATTGTGTTAGTTGCACACAGGAAGAATCTTTGCCTCTCCTTGCAATGCAATCAGGTTTAGGTCAGCAGTTTTCAGGTACGAAAGACCCTATTTCCATTGTCCACTCTCAATGTCATCTGGGACAGGAGAAGATGTGTTCACCCTGGCCTCTCTGCAGCCTCAGGCCTCAAATAAATCCATTGATCCATGTCACAGAAGATGCAATCTCTCAACATTATGGATGAGTCAGCAGCACACATGCATTTCAGTATTACTAGTAACAGTAGTAACATCAACACCCGCACTGGTCCAGGATTAATTCCATATGTGTTGATTTCTGGATTGTTTCAGAACGATTTCATGTTACTGAGAATGTAATGTGAAATTTTGTTTTGTATGTTTGAACAGCCATTGCTCATGGTGGCAACATCCTTGTTCGAAGGAATTCCTGTGAAAAAAAAAACCTTATTGTAGGAAGATTGGTTTACATGTTTGAATGATATGCATATACATGTTTAATGAGATATTTCCTGCATGTGGGAGATGCAGTTTGTTTCACAGACTTTGGTTTATATTTGCATGCAGATGTATTTTCATTTTTCAGATCCTCTGTGTTTCTCATCTTTAATTGATTCCCTTTGAACATTATGACATGAGTTTTCAGATTTTTTAATAACAGAATAGCACAACACAACTCTCAATTAATTCAGCTGGGTGTCATTATGGGATAATGGAAAAAGACAAGAATGGAGCAGTGGGGTTGTTAATAATTATTAAACTGTTCCTATCTAATGTACAAGTAATTACTATTGTGGCCAAGCCCTGTGCTTCTGATATCGCACAGACTAAACGAAAACCAGTGCAATTGGCGATTCAAAAAATGTGCGGAAAAAGCTAGATATTTCTAGAATCTAAGCTGTGTTCACATTCATGTCATTTAATGTTTTCAAATGGACAGTAGCCCAGAGGACATGCATTGTTATTTTACACCATGTTCAAATGAACTATACACTCTAAAAAATGCTGGGTTGTTTTAACCCAATTCTGGGTAAAATATGGACAAACCCAGCCATTGGGTTAAAAATGTAATTTAAAAATGTAACCCAATGGCTGGGTTTGTCCATATTTTACCCAAATTTGGGTTAAAACAACCCTGCATTTTTTAGAGTGTAGTGAATAGCGTCTAATAAGAAATGGTCATGATTCACAAATAAAAGAAACATCCTCAAAGGGGGTCTAGTTCTACCTTTATTTATATAGTGTTTTTTTACATTACAGATTGTATTAAGTAAGGCAAATCAATAATATTGTTGCATATTAAATATCCCAGACTAAGCGATAACGCTTCATTTTACAGTCCAGTTACCCATGTAAATACAATGTACTTATTTTAGTAACTACAATTACTGGGTAATAACTAGTACTAACCCTGAACCTACCCCTAAACCTACCCCTGTTCCATGTACTTACCTTGTATTAGCCAGTACTTTCTAGGTAAGTACATTTTAAGTATAGTACTGTAAAAGGAAGTGTTACCGACTAAGCAAGCCAAAAGCCAAGGCAACAGTGATAAGGAACCAAAACTCCACCAGTGACAGAATGGAGAAAAAAACCTTGGGAGAGCCGAGGCTCAGTCGGGGCCCAGTTCTCCTCTGGCCAACGAATGAACAGTGTATGATTATGATTCAGGCAGTATTACAGGTCAGAAGTCAGATTGCTTGGAACTATCTGAATATTATTATTCAGTTCCATCTGGTTGGAAGTCAGAGACTTCACGAGGGTATGGAGACGATTTTGTTTAAGATCAGTGCCGATGTCTTTTGTGTCTTGAAAATGAATGAATGTGTAAAATTGTGTAATGTGTAAAGAACTTTTTGAATAAATATTAAATATTATTTTATTATGTTCCTTGAGGTATGCTGTTTTAAGGGTCTGATGTAAATGTTAACTACAGTGATGTCACAATATGGTGGAAGTAGAAAAAGAGTCATTTTGATAGCTTGCTTTTCAACAAATGCTCAGAGATGAAGAATATTGAACTCTAAAATGTACAGTATTTTCATACTACAGTGACCTCTTATATGTTAAAAGATTTATCATGTCATGACCAGTGTTGTGCAAGTTACTTCCAAACTGTAATACATTAGGTATTACTTGTTACTGTTATTTAAAAGTAATTCATTACCTTACAATATTACTGTCTCAGAATTGTAATGCGTTACATTACTCATATATTACTTTTGAGTTACTTTCACCAAAATAACTAAGTAGAACAACTTTGGGGCTGTAACGATATGCAATATGAAACCGAAATCGCGATTCGTCACACGACTCAGATCCACGAACAGAATCGCGACACACCTCTTCCAACTCCCAGCGTTATTCTCCTCACCGTCCAGATCCAATGCTGCCTTATCTTTAAATTAGGCTATTAGTATTATTTGAAGTTAACATTATAAAATACGTAGACCTACACCACAAACTAGTTAAGGAGCATTATGGACATGACATTTGCAGTCAAAACTTGAAATAAAAATTCTCAGAAAATACATGTATTGAAACATATAGGCTACTTCCTCAAAGGACTCCAGACATTAGACAAATATCAGTCTATGTTTTATTTTTAATATTAGGGAAAAGACACGCATTCATGCGTGACAAAAAAAAAATAGGAGGCAAAATATATTTTTTGTAATTCTGTTAATTACACTGCGCAAATCGGATGAGGAAGGGTTGGCTCTCCAGTCTCCATAGAACTTAAAATATTCATTTTATTTTAGTTTTCGTGTTCGCATTTATGAGGAAAAAACAATGTTACAGACGCGACCGCTCTGAACTGGCACTAAAAGACTGCTTTAAGACTTTCACATAGTCTGTTGCCTTTAAGAAGTAAAAGCAGACAATACACTGTAATACAACTGTAATACAAGCCTCACTGAACATGTAACGAGTAAAATATTACTGAAAATTGATTAGTAATGCCTTACACTACTGCGTTACAGCAAAAAGTAATATGTTACTGCAATGTATTACTTTTGTAATGCGTTACTCCCAACACTGGTCATGACCAATTAAATGTTTTGTCTTCACAGAAACTCAACGTACTGTATGAAGGTGTCCATGTCACTGACGGTGGAGGAGAGTGAAGAGGGACTCTGCTTTAGCAGTCGAATACGTTACCAGGAGAGGGCCGAGATCACCAAGAGCAAAATGATTACCTGCCCTGACATTGATGACTATCTCGCCCCCTACAAGCAGCCTATCATGACCTGGAACAAGGTACAGAGTTAGAACTCGCGCAGCATGAGGTGACCATGATTTTTCCAACTAGGAAAATAAATGTTTTGTTTCTGTCTCTACCCCTTTTTTTATTTTAAATAAAAATGTATCATTGAAACATTTATTCAAACGATACATTAAAAAATTACTCCAATAATGCAACAAGTTAAGTATTTATGAGTGAGTCATTGGGCCTTATTTTAAAGATATGAAACGCGAGTATCAAACGCGAAACACGAGTAACTCATAGGTGTTGTTTGGGCGTAACGTGCAATAAACCAGAGCATCTTTTCAGACCATCAGACCATTTTCACATTCCCTTTAGGAGCAGGCATGCTTGTTCCATGCAAGGGAATTGCAATTATAATGGTGGATTTGCCAGGCGCACGCCAGGAGCGGTTCACAGCCAAGGAGACCGACGTTCTCGTCAGGGCCGTAAAAGACTGAACCGCCCCTAGGAGCATAAGTTCATGCACTGGTTCAGACTGGCCGAGTTTGATTCAGAAGAACGAACTCCAGAGGAAAAGAGGACACAAGTCCAATAATTCTGCAAATATAACTGCAGCGTTCTTGGTCCACGCTACTCCAGTTATCTCGTTATGTATATTTTAGGCAACAATAAAACAAAATATGTTATAAAACATCACCATGCCTCTTATCGGTTTGATTGTAAAAAATATTGATTACCTGTACGCATTCAGTAATCATTATCAGCTGTCAACCATCACCTCATCACCTGAGCACCAGTGAAAAGGATTTCTCACAAAGACACACACACTGTCTGTTCTTGTTAATAGACGCTCAGACTAGGGGGGGCATTCACATTGGCAGTTTAGTTCAGAACAGGGCACGGTTTGCATGAAAAATCGCAAATGTGAACGCTGTCATGGGACCCGGGTGCACACTGGGGTACCGAACCCGCTTGTTTGCCACAGTCCGAGCGCGTTTGTTTCCAAAGCACCGTTGGTCTGGTTTCACACTCAAGTTGATTCTATCCAACCCTGGTCCATTTGTGTGCATATTACAGTATGTCATCACAAACGTGCACGGCGAAAACAGAACACGGGTCAATATTGTGTTTTTTATTAATTCGTTGCTATTATGCACAGTTGATTAAGCATTTATACCAACAGTAATTCTGGATTGCCTCCACTAAACAAATAAATAGGAAATCAGAACATTGCGCGCCAAAACAGCAGTATGCGTGCAATTGTGAACCACTAGTGTTTCTTCTTGCTGCATATCTTTGACTCCAACACGTCGCCCACGAGCTACCAGTAGCTCGTGGTCTGATTGGAGGTAGATCGTCAAGGGGCCGTTCACATATTGTGACCTTTGAATGCGTGCTCAAGTTCGTTATTTCAAAAGTAGGCGCGCGGCAAGCGGGCTCATCATTGAAGCGACACGCCTTATTTTTTCCAGGCGAAGCGAGATGAAAACACCTCAACTTTTCTGAATGCCGCAAGCGCACCGCAGGTCATGTGACAAGAACCAACACATCAGCTTCACATTTTCGTAACAAGATTATAAAGCTCAGTCAACGTGAAGGATGGGTATGCCAGCCCGTTCTCATCCTTTAACGTCATATAGAACGCTATATGCAAAAACGGCGCTATACTACGCACATGGCACCCTTTATTGTTAATAAAACACGCGAACCCAAGACATTATAAATCCTTTAGCGTGAATATGACACGCACACCCTACCCCACACCTAAACTTAGCCCTCACAGCACGTGTTATATTAACGATAACGGGTGCCATGTGCGTAGTATAGCGCCGTTTTGTCATATAGCGTTCTATATGACGTTAAAGGATGAGAACGCGTTGGGTATGCAACCCAAACAATCAGTTGTTTTTCTCTTCTCCGTAAATAAATCTTGTTGCAGAACTACAGCAAGCGTTTATTGGTGGTGGAAATCCATTACTATATAAGCTACTATATAACTTCTTTGTCATTGTGTAGAGCACAGAGCAAGGTTGCATAGCAACGAAAGACGTCACGGGAAAACCGGACGTAATTTTACTATTTCTAATAAAAGATAAGCTAATGTGCATTGTAAATGTAAGTAATTTATCTTTTTTAAAAACGATTTGCCAGGGAACAATTATAGACTCATGAGACCAAAGATTGCCTGTTAGATAGATGAATTAAATCAGCCCGTTCTCATCCCAAGACGTCATCTAACTGACGCTTTTGACCATACGTCAACATCCGACGTTTTAGGGTACCCTTTAACGTCAGTTAGATGACGTTATCTAATCCTAACCCTACCTCAGACCTAAACCGCGTCATCTAACTGACACCCTAGGATCGTCATCTAACTGACGTTAAAGGGTACCCTATAACGTTGGATGTTGACGTATGGTCAGTTAGATGACGTCTTGGGATGAGAATGTGCTGATTAAATCTTTTATATCGTGTTTAACCACTACAGGGATCTCAAGTCAGCACAAGTCACTTCTCGATGTATCCTCAATAAAAGGGGCAGATCAAGAGCAACACTGTACTTGGATAAATGTGAACTTTGAATTGGAAGTCCACAAGAACATAACTACAGACAAGAACGCATATTGAGAAATGATGGAGGAGGCTTGCAAAATGTGCAAGGTTTGAGGTTTAAGATACACTGCCTTAAACCATCTGATTTCAATGGAAATATTGTTCCAGTGTTCCAATTGGTTTGAATTGAGGTAGTCTGACACAAAAACTCCACATATGTGAAGGTTCAGTTATTTTTTTTTATTTCCTCAGGAATGTCAGAGGCAAGACTGGAGGAGCTCCATAATCATCAACACCACCAGTCTGTGGATCCCAGATGTGCAGGAAGATGATGGAGGAAATTACACATGTGAACTTAAATACGGCAGCAGAGTTGTGAGGCGGACCACAGAGCTCAAAGTCACAGGTACACTTTCAAACCAATTCAAATGTGTGGTGAATCGAAAGCAAATAGTACATGTTATAATCTAATAGCTGCTTTTCCACTGCCGGGCCAAACCGTTCTCGTTGCTTAATTGCTCCATGCCGATCCGGCCCAGCTGGTACGGATATGATTTCATTCTCTCATCCACTGTGGGGCTGAAAACAGAGCTCTTTGGAATGTAATACAAATCTGTCAGTGGTTGCCTTGTTAACACAAGAGTTTACAGACAGTATGAGAAGTAAATAGTGACCACATTATGGAGGATATTGATCGGATATTTCTATTATTAACTTGTTTACTTCGCTCAAATAGCGACGGAAAGCAGCTATTGATGGCATCCGCACCGAATGCGTCACGTTGTGCGGAGTTGCCGACAGTAAACAGGTGTCCGTTCTGTTTCTGCTGCGCTACATGTTTGTTTTGTCCTACTTCCATTAAGAGGCCAGATGGATTTGGAACATCACTTTGGCGTGTCCAGTTCAGACCGCCTCAAGCCATTGTGTTCCATCGTGCACAGAAAACGGAAGAGCTGTTGAAATTGAAACTTGAAATCACAAGTTGGCTAGTTTACATTTTACCAAGTTGATACAATGTGAGTAATATCACATTTTAAAAAGATACTTAGCAGAATGTAAGCAGTATTTATTAGGCTTGTAACGCTACACAGAAGTCATGGTTCAAGACCTACCTCGGTTTTGGGGTCACGGTTGGATACTATGGAATCATATGTGTAGCAATATTCAATTTGAAATGTAATATGCAAAATGACAATTTTGTATATTTTGTAAAACGGCATTGCATTTTGTATTTAAATTTACATTTTACATTACCATTCGCATCGTTTGGTGCAAAATGAAAATGAAATTACATAATTTACATTTGCCATTTCATACACTAGTTTTAATACTCATTTTGAAATGCTTCATAAGTGGCAAAATTAAAATAGAAATGATTAGATATGTGTAACATGTTCAAGCAGAAACTGTGGGAAAATTATCATTCAAATGTTATTTTTCTTAATTGCATTTACACTTACAGTCAAGACACTTGTGATTGCATTTTCATGAAATGTCCCGCAATGGATATAGCAAAATTAAATGTGCACATTGAAAATGCATTCCGAGCCGATCACGCCCCCTCCTGGCCTGTCAATCACTGCAACAGGGCGGGGCTCGGCAACAACAGGTAAACATAACATGTTATGGCTATGTCACGTGTTTTGAGCTGTTGAAAAAAAATGCTGCGACAGAGCTAATTCGAGCGTTAAATCATTTAGCAGATGAAGTGGAGCGTGAACAGAGAAACGGTAATATTTCCGAAGATTATTACGAGTATATTAAAATATATTTAAGTTGTTGTTTATTTCAGTCCACACTGCTGCATTCGGCGATGTACCGTCCATCGACTAACTCCATACAAGGCCATGATATCTTTAACTTTTAATCCATACATCAGATACCCATTTATGGCCTCCCCACTCCCCTAGGCCTATCTGAATACAGCTGTTCTTCCACCACCTTTAAGAGGTCAGCAGCCCAACGGGTGTCGGCGCCTGATAAGGCAGAAAATTCTCCCAGACGTTCCAACAATGTACTGTTCTATCACCTACATACATGTAATAATCTTCGGAAATATTACCGTTTCTCTGTTCAAATTGATATCAAATTGAATATTTCTACACATATGATTCCATAGGATATGAGTTCCCCACACATCTCCAATGCTAGTTTTCTTTCCATTTATTTTGAACAGACAATAGTGCAAATTACAGTTTGTTCCAACTAGCGGCATTTAGTCCCCTTGTTGCTACAGTACAGCCTCTTTTAGTGTATTAAGCATGAAGCAGTAAACGATTCACTCTTAGGTACATTTTTTTATATAGGGGAAAACAAAAGGTATTTGGTCATAATCAGCAACATATCAGCAACAGCATATCTTGTGTTGTAAAAGTACAAAATAAATAGAGTAATGAAAATTAAACTAGTGTAGAGATTAGTTTTCTTTGCACACTAGAGTTCATTAACATGCACGAAGTTCAATATTACGCTTCTTTAAGAAATCACGTAATGAAAAGGAAAAAAAAGAGTCTACTTCACCTTTTCTCGAGAAGGCAGTGTGTGAAACGGCACCTGTGGCGTCCCATTTCCAGGACACGCATCACTGTAAAGTAGTAGTGAAACTTTCTTGACACAAATTGGCACAATGCCAAAAGATTTTGTCTCATTATAACAGTGGAAACAACCTAAAATACTCCATCATTTTGGTCATATGGATCCGAGTAAGACATCAAAGACGCGTAAAGGGTCTATTTTTATTTGAGTACACTACAATCACAATAAAAAAAAAAAAAAAAAACATCGTTTTTTTGTAAAATAAAATGAAACGCTTTCTGCCATCCCGGTTTCCTTTCGGTGAAGTTAGTGAAGCGTGTCACACAAAAATGAATCGAAACTCAGCGTATAGGCTACTAGCAAACTCTTGCGTCCCATCTGAACTTTTATTTTGGGTTGGTGCGAAGGATCTTATCTTCTTCTTCTGCTCTTTTTACTGTTATGGCGAATAGCAATAAGCGTTGCATTACTGCGCGTACCCCCTTCTGGATAGGAGTGTGGATTGCATGTGATTTACTGTATTTGTTGTCCTACTGTAAGCGCTGCACCCCTAGTATTTATTAACCCTTTGGGGTCTGAGGTGTTTTCACATGCCCAGACATTTGTGCTTATTTCTGTTACTTATAATGTTTTCATGGATTTTTCATAGTTCTCGATGCAAAGCAGAGGAATCTGGTGAAGTTTGATGGTTTGTTTTGAGGTGATGGGGGTGTTTACGTGTGGACGATTAGCATGTCAAAGGCTGCACAGGTTGTGGATGTGGTCAAATTAAAATAATTTGTAAGACTTGTAAAATAATAGTAAAATAATTAGTAAAACTGTTCCTCGCATAGAGTAATTTGAGTCTCTTTCGCACTGATTTAAAAAAAAAAATGGGGTGAGGGAGGTCCTCGAGTTCCACTTTCCTGCAGAATTTATCTCCAACCCTCCTCAAACTCACCTTCCAATAGTTTTCTAGTAATACTGAAGAACTTGATTAGCCTGTTCAAATCTGTTTGATTAGAACACTTCGGGGACCAGAGTCAAGAACCCCTGCTGTAGTTGGTCACATCACATTTGGACTAGGGCTTCACGATTATGGAAAAATAATAGTGGTTGATTTAATTTCCCTTAATACTGTAACTAAAATCAAGAATTTACATTAATATAATTCATAGAAATTAATATAATTTCTATAATGTGACATTAAAAGTCTATCAAATCTATCACTACTCTCCGTAGCAAATGAATATATGAAAACAGCAGTAAAACAATAGCAGCTGTAGATGACTATGTTCTGCAAGTTCTAAAAGTGATGATGCCAAAAATATTTTACATTGCCAGCCTTGTGCCTCAATCCACATGCTGGAGGAAACTGATGAGAAGGTTTGTTTAAAAACAAGCCTTTGGTTCAACCCTCCAGGCTTAACTCGCCCTTTTGTAAACATCTCCAAGCTACAGTAAATCCAGCGCAGCACAGAGCAAACAATAGACTACACCGTTTTACACAACACACAGTGATGGAATCATAATAAAATCTGCTTTCACAGCTTGTGTCTAGATAACACAATGTCTTTCATGCATTTCCAACTCTGGACCTCGAAGTCCACTGTCCTGCAGAGTTTAGTTCCAAATATGATCATACTCACCTCCCTGTAGCTTATCCTGAAGATCCTGATCAGCTTGTTAAAATGTGTTTGATTAGGATTGGAGATCAACTCTGCAGGATAGTAGATCTCCAGGGCCAGAGTTGAAAACTCCTGCCTGATAGACTACACAACACTGATCTGATCTCATGTACACTCCCATTGCTATGAATTAATTGCTTGGTTGACAATAAAGTATTTTATTTCAATGCCATAGTCACCCTAATTGTTTCTTGATCATACAGTATGCATTGACTGTGACCCTTAGAAACCCCTATAAAAATGAGCATACTGTACCAACTGCACCTTGAACATTTCACTTTGCAATTATCGTTATGATGCATTCACGGTTGATTATTGGCCAATATATAAAAACATGAAGCGAGTGTTCGGTTTTTCATAAACCACTAGACTAGAACACTTGTAGAAGTTCTAAAGTGCTGATCTGAGAACAGTTCACTTGCCCTCTTACAGCATGTTGCTCAAGATAAACTGCACAATACTTTGACCATGGAACAAAATCACGTGATTGTATGTCTGTAGCTGCGTTTCCATTACCCTTCAATTTGCGTAAATTGAAATTGCCAAATGAAAATACTCTCAATGGAAACACGTCAATTTTGCAAAAACTCCCGTTTATCGCAAAAAAATTCTGAAAAAAGTTTTTTCAGGCAATTCGAAAAAGGATTTTTTCGCAAAACTGCATTGGAAATGGGTTTTGTGCATTTACAGTCACCTGACTTAGAAGACGGAGTGTGTTTTGGGTCCGTGTCTGCAAATAATAATAATTATCATCATTAGCCTATTATAACTTTTATTAGGCTACGAAGACGCTTTTATCCAAAAAAGGAACAAAGCAATTAGTCTCATTTCATTCATAGTACAGGTTGGACAATAATAATATTAGGGCTAAGATTATCACAAATAAACACTAGATTTTGACGAATATCCAAGTGTTTGTAACTATGCAACTACTTTTATTTGCGTAATGTCACAATAACAAGAAAACATTGTGCTTTTGTAAAATAAAATTAAACAATCAGACGCGCTTTCATGGTCTTTGTGAACTGGAGTGCGAGAACTGAAATAAAGCTTTAAATGTCCACTTTAAAAGGAAAAAAATTGAATCATAAGCTAATACCTTCTGATTATGTAATCCGTATGAAAGGTGCAGGTCTCTCTGAAGGTGCATCTGGAGATATGTTTTTAGCTCTTATAATTTATAACACATTTATAGTAACTCACC